CCAGTACTGGATACCAAGTGACCTCAAGTTGTCTACTGCTATTTGCCAGAGATTATTGGTGATTGGGTAAAAGGAGTCCAATAGGAAGCTGTGAAAAAAAGAGTGGTGTGGCGAAAGGTCAAAGTTTGAGGCTTAGCCACGCCCACACCTTTCAACTTTTGAAAAATCCGACGGTTGAATTTTCCCCCCCATGTCTTAAGAGTATATAGCAGAAGTTTGAAGGTGATTGGTGAAAAGGGGGACGGAGCATCACTCTCCAAACAACGTGTGCGAAAACCACTAATTCGAGTACTTGGACCAAAATGGCCGACTTCCTGTGCGAGTTTTTGCCTGGCTCCAAGAGACTTTTTTTTAGGTCCTGAGACACCACATTAGTGTACCAAATTTCGTAATCCTCAGTCAAAGCATGGCTTGGGGCTGACAGTTTTTATGGCTCTAGGGGGCGCTGTTTCAGAAAATAGGCCACGCCCACAAACTTCAGCTTTTTATTTCTCTTGGGGCTCAGACTAGGATCACTCACCAGAAGTTTCGTAGCGATATCACGATAACTGAAGAAATGAGAGGCAAACGTATTTCCATGGCGTGATGGCGATTTTCGCCATGCTCCCAAAGCCCCGCCTTTTTTCGAAACCTGCCAGTACTGGAGACCAAGTAACCTCAACTTGTCTACTGCTGTTTGCCACAGAATCCTGGTGATTGGGTAAAAGGAGTCCAGTAGGGAGCTGTGAAAAAAAGAGTGGCGTGGCGACAGGTCAAAGTTTGAGGCTTAGCCACGCCCACACCTTTCAACTTTTGAAAAATCCGACGGTTGAATTTTTTCCCCTATGACTTAAGAGCATATGGCAGAAGTTTGAAGGAGATTGGTGAAAAGGACGACGGAGCATCACTCTCCAAACAACGTGTGCGAAAACCACTAAATCGCGTACTTGGACCAAAATGGCCGACTTCCTGTACGACTTTGCACTTGGGTCCAAGAGACTTTTTTGTAGGTCCTGAGACACCACATTAGTGTACCAAATTTCGTAATCCTCAGTCAAAGCATGGCTTGGGGCTGACAGTTTTAATGGTCCTAGGGGGCGCTATTTCAGAAAATAGGCCACGCCCACCGGATGTTCACATCAGATCTTTTGGGGGGCCGGACTAGGATCACTCACAAGAAGTTTCGTGACGATATTTTTAGAAATGACGAAATGGGAGGCAAACTTAAGGCCACGGCGGTACGCCTGACTTCGCCGCGCCGCCACAGCCCCGCCCTCTGTCGAAAACTCCTATAAAGTGACGCCAAGCAACCCTCACTTGTCTTGAGTTAACAGCTACAAATTTGTGGGGATTGAGTGAAATGGGGCCATTTGGGACCTTTCATAGTAAAACTTGACCTTTTAGGTCCTGAGGGGGCGGGGCTTGTGTGATGTCATCATCCGATCATTCATTTTACTTTGTGGGTAGATGACGAATGACCACAGAAAGTTTGGTAACTCTATTCCATTCAATTATGAAGTTATAGCAGTTTTAATTTTTTTGGCGAGTAGTCAAACTTCGAGGCCTGCCCCCGCCCCTTCAACATATACGAAAACTCAGAATCCTTGTCTCATTTTGTTCGGCCATTTCTTCTGAGCAATTTTATACCATTTTTGAGACGATCGTGCGAAAAATGATCGAGCAATCCAATCAGAAACTGACCCTAAAAACGGCAAAAACGGCCAAAAATCGCCATTTCAACCCAAAATGGCCGACTTCCTGTTTGATATTGACCATGCTTGCAAGAGACTTTTCTGTGCGGACTGTTGAGTACTACAAGTGTACCAAATTTCATAACTGTACGATAAACTAAGCTTTATGGAGAGGGTTTTTTTTCACATTGTAGGGGGCGCTGTTCAGCCATTTTCTTAGCGATTTTTTTGGGACCTTTCAAATATCAAATTTTTCACCAGGCCTGACAAGTTTGCAAAATATTGTGAGTTTTGGGGTATGTTAAGGTCCCCAAAAAGCCATTCAAAGGGGGCACGGAATAACAAAAAAAGAAAGAATAATAATCGGAGCAAAAACAAGAGGCCTTCGCAGCGCTTTCGCTGCTCGGGCCTAATTAAAGCTGCAAGCAGCGTCGTTCGGCCCTCGCAGCTCCGCGCCGCTCCGGCCTGGCCGGCAGCCCGGGGCACCAGGCTACGTCTGCGAAACAGAAACATCGACCACCCCGACACCCGAAACTGCTAACGGCCACCTCGTCCGCACCTCACCCTGACTCAGCATCCCCTTTGAGCCCACCATTATATTTTATGTCTCACCACTAGGGAATCCTCTATCTTAACCACACTGGTGATGTGATGACAGTGACCAACTTTAATGCTATTCTGACCATGTTTTTTAAAGTTTTTGAAGGATAACGTTATCTAGGGGGCGCTGTGACCAACTACAGAAAAGTCCCATTGAGGTCAGCTTTGGTGACATTATATAACATTCACCAACCGTTTGTGCCTCATTGGCTAAAGGGCATGATTGTTCATTGCCATGTTCAGTCTCGGGCAAATCGGAGGCCGTTTGTGGAAGTTACAGTCAAATATACGGTCATGGCGTCATGCCAGCATTCACCATGGCATCAAATCCCCTCCCTTTCTGGAAAGCTATCAGATCTGAATGGTCATTACAACATCATGAAGACAGTGTATGACCTTAGTGTCATGTTCACTAAATTAGATGGGACAAATATGGGTATTTCACCATAAAACAATATACTTCCTGTTGTCAGGGGGCGTGGCTTAGGTGATGTCAGCTGTCCACATTGTCGTTGTCTTGAGATGTGGTCAGTGATCACACAGACAAAGTTTGAAATAGATCTGTTCATGCACTTGGGAGTTATTAAGTCATGTAATGTAATGGCGAAAGGTTAAAGTTTGAGGCTTAGCCACGCCCACACCTTTCAACTTTTGAAAAATCCGACGGTTGAATTTTTTCCTCTATGTCTTAAGAGTATATAGCAGAAATTTGAAGGAGATTGGTGAAAAGGACGATGGAGCATCACTGTCCATACAATGTGTGAGAAAACCACTAAATCGAGTATTTGGACCAAAATGGCCGACTTCCTGTGCGACTTTGCGCTTGGCTCCAGGAGACTTTTTTGTAGGTCCTGAGACACCACATTAGTGTACCAAATTTCGTAAACCTCAGTCAAAGCTTGGCTTGGGGCTGACAGTTTTAATGGCTCTAGTGGGCGCTATTTGAGAAAATAGGCCACGCCCACAAACACAGCTGTGAATTTCTCTTGGGGGTCAGAATAGGATCACTCACCAGAAGTTTAGTAGCAATATCACGATAACTGAAGAAATGAGAGGCAAACGTATTGCCATGGCGTGATGGCGATTTTCGCCATGCTCCCAAAGCCCCGCCTTTTTTCGAAACCTGCCAGTACTGCATACCAAGTGATCTCAAGTGGTCTACTGCTATTTGCCTGAGATTCCTGGTGATTGGGTAAAAGGAGTCCAATAGGGAGCTGTGAAAATAAGAGTGGCATGGCGAAAGGTCAAAGTTTGAGGCTTAGCCACGCCCACACCTTTCAACTTTTGAAAAATCCGACGGTTGAATTTTTTCCCCTACGTCTTAAGAGTATATAGCAGAAGTTTGAAGGAGATTGGTGAAAAGGGCGACGGAGCATCACTCTCCAAACAACGTGTGCGAAAACCACTAAATCGCGCACTTGGACCAAAATGGCCGACTTCCTGTGCGTTTTTGCCCTTGGCTCCAAGAGACTTTTTTGTAGGTCCTGAGACACCACATTAGTGTACCAAATTTCGTAATCCTCAGTCAAAGCATGGCTTGGGGCTGACAGTTTTAATGGTCCTAGGGGGCGCTATTTCAGACAATTGGCCACGCCCACACATTTTAGCTGTCCATTTCTATTGGGGGTCAGACTAGGATCACTCACAACAAATTTCGAGGTGATATCTCGATAACTTAAGAAATGAGAGGCAAACGTATTTCCATGGCGTGATGGCGATTTTCGCCATGCTCCCAAAGCCCCGCCTTTTTTCGAAACCTGCCAGTACTGGAGACAAAGTAACCTCAACTTGTCTACTGCTGTTTGCCACAGAATCCTGGTGTTTGGGTAAAAGGAGTCCAGTAGGGAGCTGTGAAGAAAGAGTGGCGTGGCGACAGGTCAAAGTTTGAGGCTTAGCCACGCCCACATCTTTCAACTTTTGAAAAATCCGACGGTTGAATTTTTTCCCCTATGTCTTAAGAGTATATAGCAGAAGTTTGAAGGAGATTGGTGAAAAGGGCGACGGAGCATCACTCTCCAAACAACGTGTGCGAAAACCACTAAATCGCGCACTTGGACCAAAATGGCCGACTTCCTGTGCGTTTTTGCCCTTGGCTCCAAGAGACTTTTTTGTAGGTCCTGAGACACCACATTAGTGTACCAAATTTCGTAATCCTCAGTCAAAGCATGGCTTGGGGCTGACAGTTTTAATGGTCCTAGGGGGCGCTATTTCAGGAAATTGGCCACGCCCACAAATTTTAGCTGTCCATTTCTATTGGGGGTCAGACTAGGATCACTCACAACAAATTTCGAGGTGATATCTCGATAACTTAAGAAATGAGAGGCAAACGTATTTCCATGGCGTGATGGCGATTTTCGCCATGCTCCCAAAGCCCCACCTTTTTTCGAAACCTGCCAGTACTGGAGACAATGTAACCTCAACTTGTCTACTGCTGTTTGCCACAGAATCCTGGTGTTTGGGTAAAAGGAGTCCAGTAGGGAGCTGTGAAAAAAAGAGTGGCGTGGCGACAGGTCAAAGTTTGAGGCTTAGCCACGCCCACATCTTTCAACTTTTGAAAAATCCGACGGTTGAATTTTTTCCCCTATGTCTTAAGAGTATATAGCAGAAGTTTGAAGGAGATTGGTGAAAAGGGCGACGGAGCATCACTCTCCAAACAACGGCTGTGTCTCAATTCAGGGTCTGCATCCTTCGAAGGACCCAGCCCACCCGGCCGACGTGGGCTGCGTCCTCCGTCGGCCGGGTAGACCGGATGTTAACGGCTGTGAATTTGGACAGGCCTAGCCTTCATGAATTCCCGCCTCTCCCTCGGCGAACGTTCCGTCGCCTAGCAACCGTGGAACCGCGCTGAGCAGAAGGGAGAAGGAAAATGGTAGCGCTTGAAGCATTATTGAGCTTTTTAATAATTTCCTTGCTTCTGGAGGAGTTACAAGAGAAGTATCGACGGCGAAGGCATTTTATATTGCTCAGGCTGAGAAGCAACAATGAACAGGTATTGTATTTTCTAAGTAGCCTTTACCTATCGGCTATAGCTAGCTTACTGGATAGTTTTAGCTACTTCTTACAGGTTGCAAACATACTCCGTATTAAAATCGAACCTTATACTCAAATACAACTTCAAATCTTTTATACTTACTCAACTACAAAAGCTCCCCACCAAAAAAGTTACTCAAGTAAGAAGAAAAACAATGTGAAAATGGCTTACATAACAAATAAATCATTCTAAAATATGGATGTCATTAAATAACAAATAACTGTAAGCAGAAAGAGTACATTACACTACCTGTAGAAGGACATCTAGTGAACGAAAATAAAAACTTTTTATATTACTTACAAAACTTAATTATGGACAGCACTTTCAAAACATAATTGATCTTTTGGTCTTCATTGCATACATTGTTCAAAAGTTAATTTTTTAGAATTGTGAAAGAATACCATGAATATGTACAATATTATCACATTTACAATTACAGCTTTGAAATAAAACTTTATTTGTTCTGTATTTCTCTTTAACCAGACTAGACCCAGATACTGCAGGATTAACCTGAGTGTCCCAGTCCTGGACCGTTTCTTCAACCAGCAAGATCCGAGACCCGACTTTCGTCTGAGCAGGGAGTCCCTTTCAGTGCTGCTGAATCTGCTGAACCAAGATCGGCGTCATGGTTGGGGTGCCACAATTGAGACCCTGGTGTTTCTTTTCTGGTTGTCAAGTGGAGCATCTTACAGGGTGGTCTCCAGTGCGTTCGGGATACCTCGTTCGACTGTCCACCGCATCGTCCACAGAGTCACGGAGGAGGTTGTGGCCATTCGCCACCAGGTCATCCACCTTCCAAAGACCCCTGAAGACCTGGAGGTGGTGTCCCAGGGGTTTGCAGGGCTGGCACGGCACAGAGCTTTTGTTAAAGCTGCAGGTGCCATCGACGGCTGCCACATCAGGATCAAGCCTCCAAGCGGCCCTGATGGTCACTGCTACAGGAACAGGAAACTGTTCCCCTCTATCATCCTGCAGGCTGTGTGTGACCATCAGGGCCGCTTCATTGACACCTACGTGGGCTGGCCGGGGTCGGTGCACGACTCCAGGGTGCTCCGCCACAGCCCCCTGTACAGGCAGTCAGTCTACCCTCCTCCAGGGCACTTCATCCTCGCAGATGGTGGGTACCCATGCCTGCAAAGCCCACTCCCACTCATCACTCCCTACAAACGTGGGAATCTAGGTGTGGCTGCCCAGCGCTTTAACAGCCATCATTCCAAGGCACGCTCTGTGATAGAGCGTGCTTTTGGAATGATGAAAACCAGGTTCAGAGCCATCTTCCTGCAAGCGCTGGAGGTCCACCACACCTTTGTGCCTCACGTAAGTGTACGAAATATTGATTTTCACATTTCTTTGAAATAAATTTAAATTAATTATTTTATGTATTACAGGTTGTTACCGCTTGTGCCATACTCCACAACATCTGCCTCAGTGCTGGAGACTTTGTGGCGGCGGAGGATGAGCCTGAGGAGGATGGTGGAGATGATGAGGGGGAGGCTGGCTTGGAGGATGTCAGCGGTGCACGCTGGCGGGACCAGCTGTGCTGTGAGGTGTCTGCCCTGGAGGAGGTTCCACTGGACCATGACTACTGTTAACAGGTAACAAATGAATGCATTTTTTTTAAATAGCCTAACATTTCACCAATAGTATGTAGATTTTGTATTTATTATCTCCTATTTGTCTATTTATGTTTCAGTCTTGGTCATGTAGCAGCCGTCGACAGCCAGCCCTGCAAACCGATGGACGATGCAGTGGACAGTCAAGATGAATCTTGAAGCCCTCTGCAGACCACCCAGTAGGATGCTTCACTTGTCAACCTGAAAAGAGCAGCCACGGGTCTCAGCTCCAGCACTCCATCCATGAGTCATCTGTTCAGCAGATCCAGCATCCCTGTTAGAGACTTCCTGCTTAAGTTTTTGAAACGGTCTTGGAACAGGACACTCAGGTTAATCCTGCACCTTATATTAGATTTTTCTATTTTGTATGTTTCCCTTAAATATTTTGTGTATATATGTTCAAACATGTTGGATCTACGTTTTTGTAAATAAAACTATTAAGTTTGATCCATTTCTGCATTATTTTCTATATTACATTATTTGTTTATTACATTTAACAATACATGTTAAGGTAAAATAATCTTCAAGTTCATTTTAATACTTTCTCAAGACATTCTCAATATTTTAATATTGTTTTTATAAGCAATTCAAATGCACCCACAATAGGCTGTTTTATGTTTGTTTTTTTTAATTAAAATGATCAAAATAACGCACTAAAAAAATGTTTTTGGGACTGTTGGAGAGCTAATTCAGAGAAAATAGTTTGTAAAGCTGAGCCTGAGCAAAGACGTGATAACAGAGTTTAATACTTTCTAAGGGTCTTAATTTGACCCAAACCGATTGATCACCTTTTAAGACTTTTCAAGGCCCAGTGGATACCCTGTAATATTAAACAATTCACATTTGTAAACAAAAATAAACTTCAAGAGTTTAAGAACTGATTTTATTTAGATTATAACATTTGTTAGATACGGCTAATCTTTACTTATCATTTTTTCAAGCAGACTAAAAAGCTTCCCAAAAGTTTCCCTTCTCTCCTGTGCCCTCTGCTGCTCTGCCTCCCTCTGCAGCCTCATATCTTCTCTGATGAGCTCCAGAAGCTGGTCATCGCTGTCCCTTCTCCTTTTTCTTGCACCCTGCTGACTTCCTCCTGGCTGACCATCTTCATCCTCACTCTCCTCCCTTTCCTCCACTGCTGTACTTGGCCCTGGAGTGTCCTCACGGATAGAGGCAATTAGGACAGGCGGACTGATAGAGGGTCTCTGTCCTAATAACTCATCCATGAGGTCAAACCAGGGCCAAGTAGCAGCAGTGGGTTTCCCACTAACCCCCTCTCCTGACCCTGGATACTTGCAATCCTAGGTAAAAAAATAAAATTATGTCATTTTACACAAATACCAACAAACCTGTTTAAACTTTTTAGATTTAGCATGTATTCATGTTATATTTTTCCACACACATCTACATACTTTATATTTTTTCTTTAAATTATCCCATTTTTTTTTGGCCTGGATGGGGGTCACCTTCCCCTGGATGGACATTTTCTCCAGAATACTCCTAACATGTAAGAAAAAGAAACAGGAAGAGAAAAGATAGAGAAAAGGAGGACAACGGATTATTCCTTTCATGTTTTGGCAGAAAAAAATGAACTCAAACGAATTTTTAAATAAAATATGACATACCTCCATGCCACAGACGCCGAATGCTTTGCTCCGGTGAACATGTGGTCCATCTCCGCTCTAAGCTGTATGAATTCTTGTGTTTTGTCTTTAGTCCCTAAAATATTAAAATCATGGTGAAAACGTAGCGGGAGAAGTGCGACACCGAGCGGCCGAACATACGAGCCAAGACCGCAATACAAGCACTTCTACGGTAACATTTCTAACGAAAAATGTTCGTGTATAAAAAAAAAGCCCTTACCCTAACAGTTTTCAAGTTTATACTTACATTTATACGTGCTATCTTCTCCAACAGCTCCCGCTTCACTGTCCGCCATTGTTGTAAAAGTTTTCTGCCGGCCGGCCCGCAAGGCATCTTGGGAAATGCTACCTATTGAAGGATACACCCGACCCATCCTTCATTCAGGCGAAAAGAAGGCCGCATTCGTCGACCGCATTTGAAGGAGTCTTCGAATTGGGACAGGCCTAGTCGCGGCGCTGTGACGTAACCGGCCGACGAATCCGGCCGAGGTAGGATGCAGACCCTGAATTGAGACACAGCCAACGTGTGCGAAAACCACTAAATCGCGCACTTGGACCAAAATGGCCGACTTCCTGTGCGACTTTGCACTTGGCTCCAAGAGACTTTTTTGTAGGTCCTGAGACACCGCATTAGTGTACCAAATTTCGTAATCCTCAGTCAAAGCATGGCTTGGGGCTGACAGTTTTAATGGTCCTAGGGGGCGCTATTTCAGAAAATAGGCCACGCCCACCGGATGTTCACATCAGATATTTTGTGGGGGAGGACTAGGATCACTCACAAGAAGTTTCGTGGCGATATCTTTAGAAGTGACGAAATGGGAGGCAAACGTAAGGCCACAGCGGTACGCCTGATTTCGCCGCGCCGCCAAAGCCCCGCCCTCTGCCGAAAACTCCCATAAAGTGACGCAAAGCAACCCCCACTTGTCTTGAGTTACCAGCTACAAATTTGTGGTGATTGAGTGAAATGGGGCCATTTGGGACCTTTCACAGTAAAACTTGACCTTTTTGGTCCTGAGGGGGCGGGGCTTCTGTGATGTCATCATCCGACCATTCATTTTACTTTGTGGGTGGAAGATGAATGACCACAGAACGTTTGGTAACGGTATTCCATTCAGTTATCAAGTTATAGCAATTTAAAATTTTTTGGCGAGTAGTCAAACTTCGAGGCCTGGTTCCGCCCCTTCAACATATACGAAAAGTCAGAATCCTTGTCTCATTTTGTTTGCCCATCCCTTCTGAGCAATTTTACATAAGTTTTGAGACGATCGTGCGAAAAATGATCGAGCAATCCAATCAGAAACGGACCCTAAAAACGGCAAAAACGGCTAAAAATCGCCATTTCAACCCAAAATGGCCGACTTCCTGTTTGATATTGACCATGCTTGCAAGAGACTTTTCTGTGGGGACTGTTGAGTACTACAAGTGTACTAAATTTCATAACTGTACGATAAACTAAGCTTTATGGAGAGGGGTATTTTTCACTTTCTAGGGGGCGCTGTTCAGCCATTTTCTTTGCGATTTTTTTGGGACCTTTAAAATATCAAATTTTTCACCAGGCCTGACAAGTTTGCAAAATATTGTGAGTTTTGGGGTATGTTAAGGTCCCCAAAAAGCCATTCATTTCGCGCACGGAATAATAAATAAAGAATAATAATCGGAGCAAAAACAAGAGGCCTTCGCAGCGCTTTCGCTGCTCGGGCCTAATTAAAGCTGCAAGCAGCGTCGTTCGGCCCTCGCAGCGAAGCTGCTCGCCCTCCTTCCGCAACCCCTCCGCTCCATCCGCGACGCTCTCCAAACCCAGCTCCGCGCTTCTCCATCCTGGCCGGCAGCCGGGGGCACCAGGGCACGTCTGGCAGAACAGAAAGTCAACCACCCCGACACCAGAAACCGTGAACGGCCTCCGCGTCCACACCTCACCCTGACTCAGCATCCCCTCTGAGCCCACCATTACACGTCTCACCACTAGGAGATACTCTATCTTTACTACACTGGTGATGTGATGTTCAGTCTCGGGCATATCGAAGGCTGTTTGTGGAAGTTACAGTCAAACGTAAGGTCACAGCGTCACGCCAGAAATCGCCATGGCATAAAAGCCCCCCCTTTCTGAAAAGCTATCAGATCTGAATGGTCATTACAACATCATGAAGACAGTGCATGACCTTAGTGTCATCTTGACTAAATTAGAGGGGACAAATATGGACATTTCACCATAAAACAGTAGACTTCCTGTAGTCAGGGGGCGGGCTTAGGTGATGTAAGCTGTCCACATTGTCACTGTCTTCAGATGGGGTCAGTGATCACACAGACAAAATTTGAAATTGATCTGATCATGCACATGGGAGTTATTAAGTCAAGTAACATAATGGCGACTGGTCAAAGTTTGAGGCTTAGCCACGCCCACACCTTTATACTTATTTAAAATCCAACGGTTGAATTTTTTCCTCTATGTCTTAAGAGTATATAGCAGGAGTTTGAAGGTGATCGGTGGAAAGGACGACGAGACATCATTCTCCTCATAACGTGTGCGAAAACCACTAAATCGAGAACTTGGACAAAAATGGCCGACCTCCTGTGCGACATTGTACTTGGCTCCAAGAGACTTTTTTGTAGGTCCTGAGACACTACATTAGTGTATCAAATTTCGTGATCCTCAGTCAAAGCATGGCTTGGGGCTGATTGTTTTAATGGTCCTAGGGGGGCGCTATTTCAGAAAATAGGCCACGCCCACAAACTTCAGCTGTCCATGTCTATTAGGGGTCAGAGTAAGAAATCGCCATGGCATCAAAGCCCCTCCCTTTCTGAAAAGCTAGCAGATCTGAATGGTCATTACAACATCATGAAGACAGTGCATGACCTTAGTGTCATGTTGACTAAATTAGAGGGGACAAATATGGGCATTTCACCATAAAAAATAGACTTCCTGTAGTCAGGGGGCGGGGCTTAGGTGATGTCAGCTGTCCACATTGTCATTGTCTTGAGATGTGGTCAATGATCACACAGACACAGTTTGATATAGATCTGATCATGCACATGGGAGTTAAGTCAAGTGATGTAATGGCGAAAGGTCAAAGTTTGAGGCTTAGCCACGCCCACACTTTTATACTTATATAAAATCCGATGGTTGAATTTTTCTCCCTTTGTCTTAAGAGTATATAGCAGAAGTTTGAAGGCGATTGGTGAAAAGGGCGATGGTGCAACACTCTCCAAACAACGTGTGCGAAAACCACTAAATCGAGTACTTGGACCAAAATGGCCGACTTCCTGTGCGACTTTGTACTTGGCTCCAAGAGACTTTTTTGTAGGTCCTGAGACCCCACATTAGTGTATCAAATTTCGTAATCCTCAGTCAAAGCATGGCTTGGGGCTGACAGTTTTAATGGTCCTAGGGGGCGCTATTTAAGAAAATAGGCCACGCCCACAAACTTCAGCTGTCCATTTCTATTGGGGGTCAGACTAGGATCACTCATCAGACATTTTGTTGTGATGTCACAATGATTGAAGAAATGAGAGACAAACGTATTTTCATGGCGTGATGGCGAATTTCGCCATGCTCCCAAAGCCCCGCCTTTATTCAAAACCTGCCAGTACTACAGATCAAGTGACCTCAACTTGTCTGCTGCCATTTGCCAGTGATTGCTGGTGATTGGTTAAAAGGAGTCCAATAGGGAGCTGTGAAAAAAAGAGTGGCGTGGCGACAGGTCAAAGTTTGAGGCTTAGCCACGCCCACACCTTTATACTTATATAAAATCCGACGGTTGAATTTTTTCATCTATGTCTTAAGAGTATATAGCAGATGTTTGAAGGCGATTGGTGAAAAGGGCAATGGTGCACCACTCTCCAAACAACGTGTGCGAATACCACTAAATCGAGTACTTGGACCAAAATGGCCGACTTCCTGCGCGACTTTGCACTTGGCTCCAAGAGAATTTTTGTAGGTCCTGAGACCCCACATTAGTGTATCAAATTTCGTAATCCTCAGTCAAAGCATGGCTTGGGGCTGACAGTTTTAATGGTCCTAGGGGGCGCTATTTCATTAAATAGGCCACGCCCACAAACTTCAGCTGTGCAGTTCTATTAGGGGTCAGAGTAGGATCACTCATCAGAAATTGTGTGGCGATGTCACAATGATTGAAGAAATGAGAGACAAACGTATTTCCATGGCGTGATGGCGAATTTCGCCATGCTCCCAAAGCCCCGCCTTTATTCGAAACCTGCCAGTACTATAGACCAAGTGACCTCAACTTGTCTGCTGCTATTTGCCAGTGATTGCTGGTGATTGGTTAAAAGGAGTCCAATAGGGAGCTGTGAAAAAAAGAGTGGCGTGGCGACAGGTCAAAGTTTGAGGCTTAGCCACGCCCACACCTTTATACTTATATAAAATCCGACGGTTGAATTTTTTCATCTATGTCTTAAGAGTGTATAGCAGATGTTTGAAGGTGATTGGTGAAAAGGGTGATGGTGCAACACTCTCCAAACAACGTGTGCGAATACCACTAAATCGAGTACTTTGACCAAAATGGCCGACTTCCTGTGCGACTTTGCACTTGGCTCCAAGAGACTTTTTTGTAGGTCCTGAGACACCACATTAGTGTACCAAATTTCGTAATCCTCAGCCAAAGTATGGCTTGGGGCTGACAGTTTTAATGGTCCTAGGGGGCGCTATTTCAGAAAATAGGCCACGCCCACCGGATGTTCACATCAGATTCTATTTGGGGCTGGACTAGGATCACTCCCAAGAAGTGTTGTGGTGATATCTTTAGAAATGACGAAATGGGAGGCAAACGTAAGGCCTAAGCGGTACACCTGACTTCGCCGCACCGCCACAGCCCCGCCTTCTGCAGAAAACTCCCATAAAGTGACGCCAAGCAACCCTAACTTGTCTTCAGTTACCTGCTACAAATCTGGGATGATTATTTGAAAGGGCGAATTTTGGAAAATTTCCCAGTAAAACTTCACCTTTTAAGTCCTGAGGGGGCGGGGCTTATGTGACATCATCAAACGACCATTCATTTGTCTTCGGAGGGCGACGTCGATTGTCCATAGAACATTTCTTTAACTGTAATTCTTTCATTTATGAATCTATAGCAATTTGAATTTTTTTGGCGAGTGCTCGAACTTTGAGGCCTGGTCCCGCCCCTTCAGTATTTACGAAAAGTCAATTTTATTGTCTCATTTTAATCGTCCATCGCTTCTGTTCGATCGCACCCTATTTTTGAGACGATCGTGCGAAAAATGACCAAACTGTTCAACCAAATATAGACCCTAGAAATGGCCAAAACGGGGTCAAAATGGCCACTTTAGTCCAAAATGGCCGACTTCCTGTTTGATATTGACCATGCGTGCAAGAGGCTTTTCTGTGCGTATTGTTGAGTTCTACAAGTGTACCAAATTTCATCACTCTACTATGAAAAAAGGTCAAAGCGGAGGGGTATTTTTAATTTTCCAGGGGGCGCTGTTGAAACATTTTTTTACCAACTTTCACGTTGCCAGTGAAATACGTAAATTTCACGCACTTT